TCCGAGGTGTGCCAGTAAGCTAGTGTAGAGAGAAAAACATTCCAATTGAATATCGTTGCACAGCTCCTTTAAATAGCAGTTGAGTCAGCCGGGAGTACTACCCTCAACTACTGCGCGTATTGCGGCAGGAGAGCACGTTTTATTTATTATTTCAGACTTCTACTCATGGTCGCTAAAAGCCTACACCAGTACGAACTTTTGTATAGTAAAAAAGGTACAACAACCGGATTTTCTTTTCGCCAAAGAGACCGGCCAATCTGACACAGTTTTCCCTATTTTTGTTTTTTATTTGCACGCAGGTAACAGCGAAATTGGACCCTGTGAGCCTTTTTATCTAGCATAATATTGCACGACAACTGGCATACCAAAATCTGCGCATCTGCGCATGAAAGTTCCAAAAATGACGCGATTTTAAACAGAGTTTGCACGCCAGCCGGACGCTAGCTACAGCCCACTCGGCGGAGCGGACGACCTACGGGGTGAGAGGGGGAGTGCATTTTTTTCTCTTTTACCCTCTTTGATATGACCCTAATGGAACGGTCTATAGGAAAGCAGCGCCATTGCCTTCCCTACCTCCTAGCCGGACACAAACAGGTACTAACATACAGACGACCAAAATTTCGCAAGGCGATTGGCTAATCTGTCTACGTTGCCATGAAAATCGCCAACTCGGTCCATTCAAATCTTCGAAGCTTCCAGTACTGCAAACGTTCCTCGCCAATATAAGCGTCTTTGGCACTCTTTATGCAATCAACTTATCAGTCATGGCCATCTCCACGGATCTTTTACAATTACATTGTTCTTCTTGCGTATTTCAAAACAGTAAACTTATTTTTCAGTGCCTCCAAGCACCGACACAGCATGTGGTGGTCAAAAGTCAAATTGGACGTTTTAGTGATTTATACAGCGTAAGGTTGGTCTGCCAGTAGGGGCGACACTGGTTTACACTGTAGATGAGCAATTTTGCCAGTGCAGTACAACTGCTAACCTGGGGTCTTTAACGTGCACCACGCAGTAGTGATACACGACCGCACGCCGGTACGATGCTCATCCAGATCGAAACGGGCAAGGGTGGGACTCGCCCGTTTCGATCTGGATGAGCATGTGGTGGTGATACAAAGATGTACGCATAGCGACACTGCTCGCGCGAACGCGACATCGGCGCATTTTCGCATTTTACTTGTAAATAGTATTAGCGAGCACGAAATATTTTCGCTGACATTATAGAACTAAATTAGCTCTTTCCGTAGCAATAATAACTTGGATGGCATCCCTTGGTTTCAAAGAGAAAAACAGGAAAAACCGGCGATCGCTTGTTCGCGCTAACAGTGTCGCGCTCAGTATACGGTTGTTTCGCCGATGTGTTGATAGCAAAATCTGGGTATACAAGAAACGTCTCCATAAAGCTACCCGTCACCAGTGAATTTAGATCGGCTCACCAAGACCGGAGGGGTCAAAGAGAAATTGCTAATTTCACGGACCAAAATGGCGAGCATACGGGGAGCTTGGCGCTATACTTTCCCAGGATCAGGGTCTACTGTCATTATTGACTATTGATTACTTTGAGCTAATTTTAATCCAACTGATTTATTATGAGCCCAACAGACACGATGATTACACTTTTGATTACTCTGAGTTACTATTGACCCAACGGACATTCGGCATAATTGGCATCTTGGTTATTTCGAGTTTTATGCCACCAATTGATCTGCTATGGTCTGAAACTCATTCGGGTGGAAGGGCCAGATAGCCGACGCCCAAAAATTCGAGGGCCAACTAGGGGGGGGGGGGGGGGGGGGGGTATTTTGTTATTTTGGTAGAAAGGAATAAACAAACAAGCAGCAGTTGTGTGTCTGAGCGTTGCAAAGCAGCTGACTATTCCTGCGACACCCTAGTAATTGTGTAGGGGCCTTGTGCTTTCTGCTTTTTGTAAGCTCACCGTTTTGCCATATTAGTTTATTTATTTATTTTGGATATAGGATTACTTTGAACCGACCCTGATGTTATAAAATTTAAAACACCAACGCACTGGCAGTTTTCAATAGAACGAAGCAAGCACACATCCCTTGCCCTGCCGCACACTGGCTCAACAGGCATTTTGCTTCCGGACGACTTATTATAAAAGAAAAAAAAAAACGCCTGTATTTTAAAGGTATTTTCTTACGGCCAGAAGCCCAATCTCATAGTTTTATCCTTAACAGTTGTTCCTGCTGAGCGAGAATTCGTGCAGCCGAGGTGCCTTTCTGAACAAAGAGCTCGCACTGGTAGCCTAGTAGCGGTATTGCTGTTACAATTGATTTTCATAAAAAATAAAAAAATAAAAAACTGAGAAGCAAGTATTTAGACGAAGAAATACTCAACCCCTCCTCGCACTGAAAAAAAAAAAAAAAGAGAGAAAGTAATAGTGCAAAATGCATGAACAGGTTATACGAGCAGAGCTCCTTCTGAGCGTAAATGAATCGACGATATACAACTTTATGCTCGAGGCATGGGAACGGGGGCTCGCAGCCGCGGGATATTTGCGGGCCGCGTCCGTGGGAGTCGCGGGCCGCCTGTTTGAGAGTCCTGCGTTATGGGCTCAAATCGCATTACGAAAGTACGTTGTGTCAAAAGTTTCTCGAAGTAATCAAGAGTAATAATAATGTGAATTGAGCTCATAATCGATCAATTGGTGGTATAAGACGAAATATTCAAGTCACTCAAGTGTCAATTAGGCCTAATTAAGGTCCAATAAATCAATAGTAACTCAAAGTAATCGTGTCAATTAGAATAATTGGTTGAATATTAGCTTAAAGAAATTAATAGTCGTATCACATTGTCATTTAGGCAGAATTAAAGTGTATTGGCTCTAAAGTAACTCGAAGAAATCAAGAGTAACAATAATGTGAATTGAGCTTTAAAGGGGTTATGACACGCCAAAAATAAAATTTGCGATAACAATACTGCTAGGACCCATTGTATGTTCCTATAATCCTGCTACATTTGTTTTGAAAATGTCCTTTGGAGGGGCGGATCCGGGCGGAGCTGGAGGCTGGCTACGTAGCCAGCCTCCAGCGCGGTGTCTCCTTGCACGCACTCACAGACTTGGCTCTCTTGGCGTCCGGAGCTTCAGCTTCCTCGTTTACCTTCCGCGTTTCGAGCATGCGGTCCGTGACGATTACGTCTACGGCATCGCTCGCCTTGTTAAAGTGTTCTACATTGATCGCAGCAGCGATGAGAGTGATTACTATCAACAGATGTGGGAAGCTGTTCATTTTGACTGCGACCAGCTGGCGACCAACACCAGCGACGGCGAGTTACGGACGAACTCGCCGTGGTGACCGTCGTCCGGGAATATCTTGCAGGCGCATGCAGGATGGAAGGTCAACGGGCCGGGGGCGAGACCGAGAATAGCGTTTGGGTTGCCGAGTTGCGTGAGCGGTTTTGATCGTACTGCGGCGAGGAGTGCTTGGGCGATCATAGGGGCGCCTAGAATGAGAGAGAGCGTTCATGGTCACGGGGTTTCTGGACACCATGGTGTGACAAACTTGGGCGGTGTTGCCAGGTCGCCAGACGAAAATGATAAATATTCGTAAACTAAATATTGCAGTTACCAGAGCTCTAAAAATCGCATAACCTGGTGTATATACTGAGTAGCCCATGAGCATCCCATTTCAAAAATAATCTATTTAATTTTCGTGTCATAACCCGTTTAAAGGTCTATATCTGTTCAAAGGAGCTGTATCACATCGAACATACCAATATCTTGTTAAAAAAAGTCTCGAAAAGGAATTTTAAAACGAGTTAAACGATTAGCAAAGAGCACCTGGTGGATGTCGCTAACGCCTCGTTTGTAATGCTCGTCTAGGAACCATGACAGCTAGTGACGGAGGTTGTCTCGTCTCCGGCCACGACGAGAGAAGGGGGGAAGGAGAAACTCCCCTCTTCCCGAGAATCCCTTTTGTGTGTCGCAGAAGTCGCTACTGTCCCCCTAAAGATTATAGAAGATTAACCCGTCACTCAAAATTCGTACAAAAGCAGCCGCTTCGGTGGCTGGAACGACTAGGCCATCCTCTCGACGTCAGCCTCGCCCTAGCTTTGCTCGTCCTGAGACGACCCACGTCACGATTACTTTGGATGTCACGTGATCTTCGCTGAGCCTTCTCCGAGCGCTTGCCAGAGTGGGCCATTTATAACGAAAAATACAGCCACCAGGCTCAAAATACAAGCGTGTGATGGTCATTTACGGATATTGTGGATCATATTCAACCTATTTTTGAACACGACGGAAATATTTCAAATTTCGTTGAAGCATCCCTTTAAAGAGATACTACAACGAAATTTCTGCGCTTATTTCTTGGCCTATACATGTTCAAGGGAGCAGCATCACATCGGACACACCAATATCTTGTTGAAAAAGGCATGAAAAGGAATTTTAAAACAAATTAAGCGATTAATAAAGGGCACCTAGTGGACGTCGCTAAAGCCTCCTTTGTAATGCCAGTCTAGGAACCTTGGCAGGTTGTGACGATGCTGTCTCGCCTAGAACTATACATGTTTTGAACCTGACGTTATTCTGCCAGCTCTCCAGTCACGAGAGAACAGGGGAAGGTGAAACTCCCCTCTCACCCGTACTCTCGTTTGTGTGTCCCAGAGGTCGCTATTGTCCCTTTACAAGATTTTATAAGATCAACCCGTCACTCAAAATTCGTGGCCCGATCGCTGGCGTGCTTCGGCCGCTTCGGTGGCTGGAACGCCGACATCCTCTCGACATCAGCCTCGCCGCAGCTTTGTTCGTCCCGAGACAATCTACGTTACGATTGTCAGAGTGGGCCGTCTATAACGAAAAACACAGCCATCAGGCTGAAAATACAAACGTGCGATTGTTATTTACGGATAGTGTGGATCATATTCAGCCTATTTCTGAACACGACGGGTGTATTCCAAATTTTGTTTGTGGCTTGAGCACTATAGTTTGATGCTGATCAACTTGTAGCAGGATTGGAAGCAGACAGACCCTCTTTTGCAGAAAACAAACCCATTGTTTATTTCTTGTTGAAGTGTTTTATAATTTCAATACACGTCAGTGGGAAAATTTGATAACCTTATACTAGTTGCTCAATGCTTTTATGACAAATACTCAAAATTGACTTCAACCGACATATATACCTTCCAGGAGCCATACAGTAAATAAGGACATCATGGATATGGTCATGCAGTTTTAAAAGCGTGAAAAGAGTAGCAAGCTGCAACCCCAAGGTGAGACCATACTCAACATATCACAAAACAATTTTTTGCCCTGCAAAAAGCCACATAATTTTCTTGCTAACTAAAGAGTAAACATTTCTAAAAATAAAATGGGAATAATTAGCTGTATATACTTTTTAACCATACACATCATGTATGCCAAGTTCAGGGAACAAAATATATTTTTACTACACTGAACTGCCCAAAAAGAAAAGTGAAATAATTTATTTAGAAAACTTTATCAAGTCGATGCTCTTTCACAATTCGCTGACAGGGTATACTAAGAAACGCCAGTTTTGACTACCGAAAATGCCAAAATGTATGCTCTAAATGAGCACCTTCTATGACAAAGGTGGTTAAAAAAAAAATAAAATAAACTGGCGATAGCTTATTAACCAGCCTCTGCTGCGTCGCGTGATGACAGCGCAGCAGAGGTTGGTTGCACTATTTCCCCATGGGGTGCGGTGCCGCCGGGGCCAAGATGCGCTCTGATAGCAAACCGAAACTCAAAAACCTGTCGAATTTGTGCAGTTTTTCAAAAAGCCGTAAAATGCTTCGCGTGCCTTCTATCGTTCTGCCATTTGTTGATTTTGTGTTTTTTGAAGATGCTGAGCAATTTTCTAATTGAAACCATGCCCTTAAACACAATATTAAAAAGTTAATTACGCAAAAATAATTAACAACCTAATTATCTCGGACTTTAATAACTTTCCTAAATAGGCCCCTGGCCCAGGACCAAAACGACAAATGTCTTTTTTTTGTTGCGACGCAGTTTTCGCAATATGGAATTAGTCCACCTTTCGTGAAACACCCTGTAAATATAATCGAAAATATGATGTTGATTGAACTGTACTTGATCGAATGAATCAATGTCTTACGAAACTCCCGAAAGCCAAAATATACGGTGGAGCCAGGATCCTGGCTCCGCCGTATATTTTGGCTTCATGGGGTTTCGTAAGACACTGATTCATTCAATCAAGTATGGTTCAATCATCATCATATTTTTGATTATTTCCTCTTCGGAGACCGCCGTAAGACGATAAAAAATGCCCGTATATATATATATACTGTATATAGATTTATACACCGTATTTACTCGAGTAATAGCCGCACTATTTATGAACGAGGTCCTTGCGTTTACTTTCCCACAGAACACATATACAACCAATCATTGCGTTGCGCATAAATAACATAGCGAATAACCAGATCGAGAACACAATTCTCCATACAAATTCGATCTTTAAAGATGGTATCTTGGCACGAAGATGTTATCTCTGTCCTGTAAACAGCTGGAATCATGCTGTCGAACGCGGTGATTGGCAATCTGCGTGCTCCGCGGGAAAGTGAACACTCGGGCTTTCTTCATAAACAGTGCGGCTATTACTCAACTAAATACGGTATATAAAAAAGACATCTTAAAGTGTAATGAGAATTTGCAAAAACAAGACCATATCCGTTTTTTTGTTCGAGCCTTACGACAGAAATTTTACATGCGGGTAAATGCTACTAACATGGTACTGGCTGGAAGAATGAGCTTTAAGCCAGCATAGCAAATCAATTGTCACAGAATAGCACAGATTCAAAGGAAAAACAGGTCAGTGTTAATTTTTTTTTTCTTTTTTTTTACGGAGAGTCTTTGTGACATGTCAGTGGAACACATACTGCATCACAAACTTGATGTCATGGTTAGACTCCACCCTTGAAACTTTCACACTGTAATCCAACTCCAAGGATTTGAGCAATAGTAGAATGCACAAGAAAGAAAACATTCCACTGTCCCCACATGCTTCAAAGTTAAATGGAACAATACACTAAGGCATTAATGAACCATCTCAGGCAACAAACTGCCATTTAAACAGCAACAAAATAAAACACCCTCCCAAGAAAGGACTCCACAGTTCCAAGTTACAGCAAGTCTGATACAGCCTCCTTTAAAGCTGTGACTCCCAACATTCCAATCGCACTTCCACATGGCAACTATCTGTTGGCCCATGCTTACATGTCGTAAATGAAAGCATGTGCCCATATCAGCACAAGAACCCTAAATTTAACTGTTGGCTACAGCATATGAAGTATGCAGAAATCTGGCACAGGCACTGGCACAGGCCCATGCTCGATTGTGACACCTTTCTCTTTCAATTTGGGGTGAGAGTTCACTGGTATCTTAGAATACATGTGTATAAATTCCAATAAAGATCTAAGGGTGAGGCTGCTTTTTTTCAAAGTGATTAGAGATTGTTGGCTTCACTGCTTGTGCTCTTTGCGACCTTGCACAGATTTAGAACAAAACTCAAATTTGTTAAAATTTTGCCGGCAAAAAGATATGGTGGGATGCAGACATCAAATGGCGCTAATAGTCCTTCAGGTAAGCTTTGTTTCTCAGTCACATCTTTTTTTAAAATGCTGATCTGACACACAGTGCTCAAGGGAACTAGGACAGTTTTAGGAAAGGCAATAGATTTTGACAGCCGTGATGCACGGCACCGCCTCACTTGCCAAACAGCAGACCCCGCGTTATCTTTCAGCTGAATGAGAAAGCAAATGACAAGCACAGCTCCAAGAACTAGCCAATACTGCTAGTTGACAACCACAACTATCGGAGAAGATTTGTGCCCACTAAGACAAGCTTATTGCTTGGCTGGTGGTGAGCAGAATTAATAAAAAATGGCCGAGAACTATGTACTTCGTATAGTAATTGCTCAGGTCCTTTCGGTCCGAGCAGAAGTATGGGCGGCCCCTCGACCACAACTGGAATCAGAATAAATGACTAAACAAGATTGGCAAAATAAAGACACTTTTAAATAATCAGCAAGAGCCTGTATCATAACCTGGCCGCTTACATCCGAAAACTACACTAACTATACTGTCCCTTAAAGCCTATCTAACTCACAAACAGAAAACATTATTTGGCTCTGATGAAGAAAGGACGTGGATGACAATGAGGTACTACTATGTCAGAGACAAAATGTCGTACACTGTGCTTTAGACTTGTCTCTCAATCCTCTTCAACTCATAGCCTACGGTATTACCAAAGGCTGCTCCTTGTCTACTCCCGGTGTCGCATCAATGAACTCTTACCATGCGTGAAAAACAATGCCACAGCAATGTAACGAGCAAAACACGCAGTTTTGAGAACAATTGCGAAGCCATAAAATCCATCAACATAGCAACTGTTCAGAACCTCAAAAGCAAAATGAGGCTTCCCCTCTTTCCTTTGACTAGCAACTGCTCCAGTTTCTCCAGGATACCGTGTCACCTTGTCAGGTAAGTTCCAAAACTCCAGTGTTTGTCTCAACTTGCTATGAATGCAGCAATAACCACAAAACCATCAGGCATGCCCAGTGGAAGAAAAAAATAAAGGAAGGGTTATTAGACTGCCACAGCATCTCACCACTCTCAATAGAATGTGGAATTTGAATCATTTTGGCAAGAGATCTGGCTCCCGGACTACATTCGAAGTGACCAGAACAGGACTACCAGAAAGCTCCGTTAGCAAACAATTACTGCAAACTGGACAGAAGCGACAAAATACCCGGCAGCAATTGTCGTGATAAAGCACAGTGCAAACATACAAAACTATCTGTCCCACCTAGCCATCACACACAAAAAAACTGACCCCCGATAGCATTGTGCCATACAATTCCTATTTCCTTGAACCTACATTTACCATTCAGTACTGCAGACATTCCTAGAGTATTCAGCAAAGCCTTCACACTGCTGCTGCCAAACATAAACCTTAGAAACTTTAATTCCACATTCTATAAACTCTGTAAACATGCACGCAGATCATCAAACGAGAGTTTCATGCCATGGCAATCAATTGGCCACAAGTATTTTGGTAATCACCCACCAAAAAAAACACTACAGATGTGTTTTCACCAGGGGGTCATCTTCAGATGCTTTGCAATGGGCGTCCATGAAACTAACCAGGGCACCTTGCCCAAGAGAGTGCCCAAAAGGTGAAAGTTAGTGGACAGAGAGGGAGCAAATGAGTGAGATAGGCCAACACTAACTCAAGCGTAAGCACACTGGACTCCAGATCCCTGGGGAAGATTGGACACTGGAGCCTTGGTGTTTTTCACGTGCAAGTCCTTGGCAGCACCGTGCAACTTTTCAAGGAAGTCTGGTACTCCGGACGCAGCCATCCAACTGTAGATGGGGCCCGGGAACGAAGAGCGCGGATCGTCGTAGTATGACAGCAGGAAGTCGAAACCATCCTGAAACAAAACGGTTACATTGAAGGGGCACTGAAGTCATTTTTGAAAAAGGTCATTTTTGATCTTATATTGTTTAAAAGGTGTTAATTCCCGCATATACCAAGCCCTATATTACAAAACCGCCTATTCATCTCAGGGCAAGAGAAAAACATGTGGATTCTTGTTTCTCGCGGACGACATTGTGTGGACCAATCAAAGCCCTACAATACGCGCAGATTCCGAATGATTTTACAGGGGTGGAACTCATGAAATGTGCTTGGGAGCAGCCATGGGAGCAGCTGAAACAGCTGTTTTGGAGCAGGTAGGGAGCAGCTAAAACTGCATTCTGGAGCAGGCTAGGAGCAGCTCAGATCAGTTTTCATTGCACTTCAGCTTGTGTTTTGGACAAGCACGGGAGCGATTTCAGTTGTGCTTAGCAGCACATATGAACATGAGTGGTTAGGGGCCTAGGCAGATGGGATAACAGTGTAACAGATGCGAAAACTCTAAACTTTTTAAGCCTTAATGAGATCCGAATATCAAGTTTCACATGTTTCTGAAGATAGTGTCCTTGATATTTTCTGAGTGGCTTTTAGGTGCTAAAAATGCAAACCAGCACTGCTTGTCACACAACCCACATGTGCTCGACATAGTAATTATATGTGCGAACAATGTGACGTGCGTAAGCAATGCACAGGTAGTTACGCGGAGGAACAGGGCAACAAATTTCGAGTTTATCCTATTGTGCAACTCAACATCGCAACAAATTTTGAGTTTATCCTATTGTGCAACTCAATATCGAAGCAGCAGACTACGATTAACTGAGTTATCGTATTCAAAACGATAAGCAGGAGCAAGGTTGAAGTATCCCGAGCAGATCTAGCACTCGCGTGAGAGCTGCTGGCCGGCAAGGTTTCGGATCGGACGCGTTTCGGTTCTATCAAATCACGATTTATCTTGCAGGAATGCTCTTCCAACTTTTAACAATAAAGTACTAAAAGAAATCTTTTGCTCATTTGTTTTCAACTGGCCGACGTCCAGATCCCGGGCCACAGAGCCTCGGGCAATCTGACGCTTAACAACTCGACCTCACCTCGGCCGACTTGCTTAGCAGCTTACGATCGAATAACAATCCAGTCACAGGTGGTCTAGCGCTTGGAATCCGACCCCCGAGTTTTTTCACGCGCACTTCCGACTCGTGATACACAGGGAGAATAAACAGAACAAAAGATTGCAAGGCCGACCAAGCTAAACGCGCTCATAGTTGCCAATCGAGTCGATAAAAAGCGAAACCAAGACAAAATACAATTTTTTTTGGCGCACATTCAGCAATTTGGTGCATAATGGCGCGAGGTATTGACTGTGGCGCAGTTTCCGCAACATGGCGCAGGAAAATGCGTCTGGCACAAAATGGTGCAGCCGTTCCACCCGTTTTATTATAACTCGTTTTGAAGAGTCTGATAGGTACACATTCGGATAAGACTCATCTTTTTCACCGCGGGCAAAGCCATCCCTTGCAACTTGCCGACAACCGCCCTTCGTCGACCACTTCACTCGGAAGAAGATTCTTCCCAAAAACGGCGTGTCGCGATTTTTTAACGCACTTTTAACGAGCAAATAAGCTACGCACGATCGCAACTTAGGGTTTGTTGGGATGCTTAGAGCGTCTAGATAAAGTTGTCACCACAAAACGACGAACTCAGAATAGACTTCAGAATCGACATGCGCCAGGGGAAACAGTTTTTTTTTTAATGAGAGAGCATTACGTATCTTATGGAGCAAAGCCGGCGTTGTTCGTAACCACGAAGAATAGCAGAGAAATTCCCTCTGCGCCATAATGGCTCTTAAAATGGTTGCAACGCAGCCTGCGCGCTGAATGGTTCCAAGGAACATCACCCCACACTCCTGGAACTGCTCCCGTGTGCCACCAGAGCAGCGCACACCAGCAGCTACGCAAAGCCCAACCGGACGGCGTCCGTAGAGGCTGCCCGGCCGGCCTCTGCAGAGGATAGCGGGGTGCGCAGCTTGTAAAAATACGCTAAATATATGAATGTTTTCGCATTCCTACACCGTAGGCAGTCGTAAGTGTCCTCCTGTAATTTTTTATTGTTTAATATCTAGACATCGTCAAACTACATACTAGGCCACCAGGCGACCTTGGGGTGCTACGAGCTGGCCAGGAATATAACAGTCCTCCCCTCTAAGGTACAAAGGTAAGTAACAACTAAGGGGAGTACCGCTGCAAAGGCCTCTTAGTCTTTGTGCTACGTCGCAGCTGGAGTGGACTGATGCTTGTAGGATGAGGAGTTACCCCAGTGCTTGTGACACTATCGCTTGCACCTACGCTTGTTTCGCCTGGCTCAAACAGAGTGCTGAGAGCACCAGCAGATGGACTCTTATTTAATACTTGTGGTTCCAACTGAACTGCAGCACCAGCAGGTTTACATGTCTCTGCCTTGGCTGTAGCTGTTGTAGGGGCATCGGTCGGTCTTAAACACAGGTGATTACCGGGCCGATGCCACAGTGTGCCATCTTCAAGGCAGACTTGTGCCGAAGAGCGACTTGTGGCGCCGACGACTTGAGCAGGCACCCAGGGTATACCCTGGTGGAAGTTCCTGGTGAACACATTCTCCAAGGGGGAGAGCGGTGGTCCCTGTCGGCACCCTTTATCAGTATACAGCTTCTGTTTTAGCTGCTTGAACAGCATTGATGACTGCAGGCTGGGGGGACGCAGGACATCCAACGGTGTCTTGAACATCCTACCCACCAACAACTCGCATGGTGCTCTGCCCGTGACCTCATGTGGAGTAGTCCGGTAATGAAACAGGAATCTGGAACTCCAAGTCCGAAAATCCCCAGAGCCACTTTTCTAGAGTTTGTTTTTAACGGTTCGTACAACATGCTCCGCTGCCCCGTTTAAAGCTGGATGATATGGTGGAACAAGGATGCGGCGTATCCCGCTGCATGTTAGGAAGTCCAAGTACTGCTCACTTGCGAATGCAGGCCCACTGTCTGACACAATCAGATCTGGTAGACCGTGCTGAGTGAAAGCCACTCGCAGAGCTGTTATGGTAGAATCTGCAGGAGTTGATGAGACAGGAAACACTTCAACCCATTTTGAAAAATCATCCGCAATGACCAAAAAAAGTATGCCCGATAAATGGCCCTCCAAAATCAATGTGAAGCCTGGACCAAGTTTCTGGGGGAATGGCCAGGGCGTCTGCTGAACTGGTTGTGGAGCCCATTGATGAGCTTAGCAAACCGAGCAGCTCTTCACATGGTGGGTTATGTCGTTATCGATACCCGGCCACCAGACGTGACTTCTGGCGATCCTTTTGCTCTTCTCGATGCCTGGGTGGCTGGAATGAAGCAGGTCCAGGACTCGAGCCTGCAGCACTTTTGGGATCGCCACATGTGCTACCCAGAGCAAACAACCCTCATACAGGCTAAGTTCTCAACTCCTTGCACAAAAAGGGCTTGTTTCTGATGCTAGTGAAAGGTTCTCTCCTATGAGGACAGCAAGAACGACATGTACCAGAAGAGTGTCATCCTTTGTGGCTTGAGCCACAACGGAGGGTAAAAGAAGATTCGGATAGGCGTGCTGTAGCATGAAGATGTCAGCCAGCATGTTCTCTTCAACGTTGCTCCCAGGTAATGGAAGTCTACTGAGTGTGCCAGCATGACCTAGTTTCCTTCCTGATTTGTAGGTCAGCTCATACTTGTACGCTGAAAGCTTAAGAGCCCAGATGACAAGCCGAGGTGAAGCGTGGACAGGAACTGGCTTGTTGGTACTCAGCAATCCGATTGTGGTCTGTGAAAGCTTGAAAAGGGGTCCCTCCAAAGTACTGGTGGAACTGTTCCACCCCGTAGACCAAGCCTAATGCCTCTTTGTCAAGTTGACTGACTCCTTGATGCAAAAGCAATGGGTCACTCTTGGACATCGGCTTCACGGTGCGCCAGAACTGCAACAATCCCATATGGTGATGCATCCAAAGTTAGACACACCGGCTTCTCTGGATTGAGATGAGCTAGAACCGGAGCAGACATCATCAAGTGCTTGCTTGTGGTAAAAGCCTCTTCTTGGTCCTTTCCCCACTCCCACTTCTTCCCGTCGGTAAGCAAGTGCAGTGCAGACAGGTTAGGAAGGAAACGTCTGTAGAAATTAATCAATCCTAGGAAGCTCTGAAGCTGTTTGACGTCGCGAGGAGCAGGAGCATGAAGGATGGCCGCTACTTTGCCCAGGCCTGGAGACACAACTCTCCCTGGTTGATAATGTGCCCAAGGTATTCAACCTGCAACACAAAAAAATTGATGCTTGTCGAACCTCAACTTCAGTCCGACATCACAAAGGCGAGGGAGAACAGAACGAAGGTTGTGCAGATGATCCAAGTCAGTCGTGCCGGTGACCGGGATTTCATCAAAATACACGGCGATGTGTGGCAGCCCTCAGAACAAGTTTCTCATCTCCCGTTGGAAGATAGCTGGAGCGGATGACACTCCAAAAGGAAGGCGGGTGTACTGGAACAACCCCATATGTGTTGAAATGGTGACATACCATATTTACTCGAGTAATAGCCTCACTGCTTATGAAGAAAATCTGAGGGTTCGCTTTTCCGCGGAGCACGCAGATTGCCAATCACCGCGATCAACAGCATGATTCCAGCTGTTTACAGGAGAGAGATAACGTCTTTGTGCGAAGATAGCATCTGTGAAGATTGCATTTGTATGGTGTATGGTGTTCTCGATCTGGTGTTTGCTATGTTATTTATGCACAACGCAATGGTCTGGGGGTATATGTGCTCTGAGGGAAAGTAGACGCAAGGTTCTTCATCATAAAAAGTGTGGCTATTACTCGAGTAAATACAGTACTTCCTGGAGTCCTGCTCAAGAATCACTTGCTGGTAAGCATCCCTCAGATCTAACTTGGTGAACTTCTTACTCCCCGACAGCATGGCCCACAGGTCTTCAATTCTAGGGACCGGGTACTTTTCCAAGGTGGTCACCGGATTCATGGTTACCTT